CATTCAGTTCACTTTCCTGGAAATGAAAAACCCAAAAGTTACACGGATGGGTGGGTCGACTATGCGCTGCGCGCAGTCGTGTCAACAGCCCCCAGTAACTGCAATGATGGAGGGCTGGTCGTCTCCAAAACACGACTCCCGTTGTAGCGACGCGCGCATGCGTTTTGAAACATCCCGATGCTGCAAAGATGGAGGGCTGGTCATGTTCAACATGCACTTCTTGCATTAGCGCCGCGCACGTTCGTTTCGACAAAGCTGTGAGCCGATAACGGGATGAATGCGACGTCGCTTTCAGCTTGACGCTCAGACTTGTACGACCAGAACTATGAACTTGTGCGACACTTGCACCTGTGAAGGGCATATCGGTCAACCTTATCTAGAAGAAGAAGGAAAACATGAACGTAAACTTTTGGCGCTCCGCGCGGATTTCTTGGATCTGCGCTGGACCCCCCTTCTGTGGCGCGCGGAGCGCGCCAGGAGCGGCGCCAGTAGCGGCGCCGGAGGCGCCGCCGGGGGGACCCAGCGCGGATGCAAGAAATCCGCGCGGAGCGCCAGCAATTTATGTCTATGGCGTGTTTTTCTTCGAATCTCGTTCGACCTTATCACCGTGAATGTTTACGCTTTTTACCTAGGTGGGGAGAGGCCAGCTCCTTCGCAAACGGGGTTATCGCCTGAGTGGCGGGCCCATTGTGCGCTCTTCGCTCAAGCGGGGGGCGCTTCCGGCAGTGGAAAGGAATGATTATATGGACCTTCTGAAGAAGGGGCTTGGGGCAGGAGGGTGCATTACATCATCGTCGCATCCTGGGTTTACACTTGTCCTCCTCGACCTCCTCCTCCTCCTCGTCCTCATCCCCCTCCTCCCCCTCCGCTTCCTCCTGCTCATCCCTCTTCCTCATAAACAATCCCACTCTGTTGCACCACCAGACGTGTCATCAGGGCAGGCCCGAAGCTTGAAGTGTCCACACAATTTCAAATCATAATCTCTTCACGCTTTCTAACACTGCTGTCGCCTGAGATCCCCTCACAATTTCTTATCCCAAATCTTAGTGTCCACAGCAGCTACTCGGATGAAACACGTCGCTCCCACCATGGTGCTACTGCTTTGGCGCCACGCACACCCGTCTTGAAACATGATCTGCACACGAACCTGAAAAGGCAGATAGAAACGTGATGCATGGAACCTGTCAATACAGATAACCTGGGCGACAGGCAAGGGCCATGCTGAAGACATCGATGGGGATGAATCCGCGCCAGGGGCTGTGCCGTGCCGCGCTAGAACGTGCTGTGCTGAATTGCGCTGCCCTGTGCTTTGGTGAAACGTGCTGTGCTCTAGTGCACTGTGGATCAAGTTGTCCTTGCGGTCCGAACCCTGACCGAACTGATCTGGATAGCCCGAACTGCTTGACCGCACGGCTCGCTCAGAGCTGGCTCAAAATCCGATTCGGTTCCAACACGGACTGGAACGAATCGACAACGGGCGCACGGACGCGCCACGGGATGCGCCAGGGGCGCGCCAGGGGATTCGCAAGGGAACGTCCAGGGGGCGCGCCAGGGAACGTCTCAAGGGACGCGCCATGGACGTGTCGGGGTAACGCCACGGAAAATACCCAGAGACATGCCCACGGGCTGTGCCAGGGGACGCGCCAGGGGACGCGCCACGGAACGTGCCGGGGGAGCGCCAGAGCCAAGGGACGCGCCGGGGGACACGCAGGGAACGTGCCAAAGGGACGCGCCATGGGATGCGCCAGGGAACGTTTCAGCGCCTGGAGACGAGCCAGGGGACGCGGCAGAGGGCGGGTCAGGGGACGTGCCAGGGAGCGCGCGCGCGGGGGGGGGGCTCGCCACCAGGGCGTGCGAAGGGGCCTGCTGGGGGATGCGCCAAGGGACGTGCCAGGGGGCGCACACTGGACCGCGCCACGGGACGTGCCAAGGGACGTGTTGAGAGACCTGCAGCGGGACGTGCTACAATCGAAACGCCGTCAGAAGGAACCCTGAGTGAGGCACGAGGCCCATTTTCCATAAATTAAACTTCGAGTTTCCATCGAAGCCCTAAGGAAACACCTGAGACAAACCGTAAAACAATTAAGGAGCACTGAGCCCCTCCCCAACAAAAAGGGTTCCTGCTTCCGCGGCCTGATTGTAGGGGACTTGCGCCAAGAGAGACTTCCAAGGGCGTGCGACGGTACGTGTCAGGGAGCGTGCCAGGGGACTTGCGAGGGCAGTGCCACGGGATGAGCCAAGGCACGCGCCAGGATTCGTTCCAGGGGACGCACCGAGGGACTCGCGAGGCAAAATGCCAGGGCCATGACATTTCGCTGGGTGCGCGCTACGACGTTTAGTGAATGACCGTGGGTCCGCGCTTCCAGGGCCACGACCCCTCGTAGATTTCGCTGCGTCCTGGCTCTGGGGCCGCGATACCTTGAACATTACCATGTGTCCGCGCCCTCAGGGCCACGACCCCTCGCAAATTACTTTGCGCCCAAGGGCCACGATCCCTCATAATTACGCTGGGCCCGCACTCGCTGGGCCACGACCCCCCGTAAACTGCAACGGCTCCGCGCTCCCAGGGCCTCTTCGGGCGTCCAGGTGCCACCTGGGGCCTCCTCAGACCTCCGCACCCCCGTTCTTTGCAGAATTCTGTGCGCGGGGGCGCGCAATCCCCCTGCTCCCTGTTCTGAGCCTGCAGCTGCCGCCATTGAAGTACCATGTGGGACCTGCTCGAGAACAGGAACATACCATACACGGATCTACCCTTTCTCCGTCCTTGTACTGCGCCGGACGCAACAGCCGCGTTGTCTACAGACGTAACTATCCACTCCGAACGTATCTATACGCGTAACGACACCCAATGCGTCCAGAGACGCTTGTGGCTAGAACGTGAGAATAGTATTTGGCAGGCCCCAGATACTGCTTTTCTGGGAGCAGGTAGACTTTGCCGTCCAACCCCGACATGTGCTTAGGATTCGGCGCGAAACGCTCCGCACCGTCCCCTTGCCATAGCAAAGCGAGGTAGCGACCACCCTGTTATCTATCCAATCCAAGATGCGACTTGGGGTGGCGCAGTGTCTTCGAGCGGACACGCGCGGAACGCACACCTACTACGCATCATTACGGCTTGAGCGGAAGTCCGCCGGCCCGCTTCGAACGTGACACTGGGGGACAGGTGGAACCCTACTATGGCCGAATGTGTTTGCTCAGCGTGTCGCGGCGGCCCCGGCGACACGCTATGCCGTGCAACCTGACAGCGTCAGCGTGTCGTTCCGCTCTGCGTGGCGGGTGGAAAGAGCTCAGGGCGCTGGTGCCCGTGGACTGGGGCGTGGCTCGCGCGTCGCGCCAAGAAGCGCGGTGGGCGAGAACCAGCGGAGCCACGCGCTAAGAGAAACTTCCGGCCACAAGCGAAAAACACGGGCCCGCGCCACTTCCGGGAAACATGGCCGACCCGCCAACCTCGAAACGGAGATTGCCCCAACTTGGGCAGGATGTCCATGGAGGCGATACTGTTCCAGGGTCTGCGCTGTGCTGCGCTGCAGGGTACTGCGTTGAAGTCCGATGTATGACTTCTGTCGCGCTGTGGACACAATCGTCCTGGGCATCCGCATGTCGACCGAACTGATCTGTATCCTTGGCCCACCGCCGAGTGCTCCGAGAATCGGCGCCTGGAGGTCGTTATGTCTTCGGGAGCGCCGGAGGTGCAGGGAGGCACACGTCGCCAACCCCTCTGCCTCCTCGCGCTCCCCCCTCCTCTCCGTCCCGCTCGCTCCTTGTCGAGGGAGCTCTCTTGAGATTCTGCTCTCGGAGCTCTCGGCCTATTTTGAAGGGGCCCTGGGACACACAAATAAATACACACAAATAACTAGTTTCCCCCAATTTTCCTATATTTTCTGGGCTTTTGTCTTCCCCCCCACTTCCCATATTTTCCCATATTTTCCTGGGAGTCGACGATTACTTGTGTCTGTGTGTGTTTCTTTCCCTCCTGATGTTTCCAGGGTCGGGGCCTCCTCCCCGCGGCCTCGGAGCCCTCGGCCCCCCCGGCCCTGCGGCCGGGCCCCCTCTGCCGCGCTGGCCGCGGCAGCCTGGCTGATCGCCCGCCTTGGGCTGCGCCGAAACTCTCGGCCGGGGGATCGGCGCCCTCGTCTGCCATGGCCTTGTGGGAAAAAAAACACAGTGGGAAAAAACACAGTGCGTGTGTTTTTCCCACAGTGTGTGTGTGTGTGTGTGTGTGTGTGTGTGTGTGCGTTTGTCCCACAGTGTGTTTTTTCCCCACAGTGTGTTTTTTCCCCACAGTGTGTTTTTTGTCCCACAGTGTGTGTTTTGTTCCCACAATGTGTGTGTTGTTTCCACAGTGTGTTTTTGTTCCCACGGTGTGGTTTTTTTCCCACGTGGCCGGCCTTACCTCATCGCTCGGAGTCTCCACCCTCGTCCCTCCCTCCTCTCTGCTTGGCGGGGCCGGGCTGGGTTGGGCTGATGTTGGAGCTCCTCCCTCTCCTCACTCCTTGCCTCCCTCCCTCCCTCTCCTCACTCTCTCCTCCCTCCCGATGTTGGAGCTCCTCCGCTCTTCCTCTCTCCCTCTCGGGCCTCTCGGCCAGGCTGGGCTTGGCTGGGGCTGGGCTGGAGGGGAGGCCGGCATGCGGGCTTCTTCTGGCGTGGGCAGCAGGAGGGGCTGGAGGGGGACCTGCTCCTCATCCGAGAATCGGGGAGACGCAAGATTCGGGCTCGGGGGACTGGGGTTGGCCTGACGGGTGCCGAATTACGAGACCCACTCTGAAATCTGACGCGAGCTCCCGCTGCAGATCTCCCACGAGAACCAGACCGTCCAAATCCGGGGCGGGCTCGCCACAAAGCGCAGGCGAACCCGAAGTCCGGCGTGCTCGAGTCTTGCGCTTCTGCGAGAGAAAAGAACGGACCGCCGCCGCGGCCGCTCCCTCCCGGGGACATCCTTCCGGCGCGGAAACCAAAAACTGCAACGCAGGACAACAAACAACTGCAACGCTGGTCTTCGCAAACCCGGGTCAGCCAATATGCTCGGTCGCCTCGGGGCCACGAGCGGCTCGCTGACCCGGGTCAGCCAGAGGGGGTCCTCGCAGGATCCTGCAGGATCCGGTGCCTGGCTGACCCTCGTTTGCATTGACCCCCTTCTCTTGAGCCCCGGTTCCCTTCCGGGGACAGCCTTCCGGCGCGGATCTGGCAGACCATGGAGAGGGTCCCGGAGGACAGCCGCGGTCCCCGCCTCTCGCAGGGCGGCCTCCCAGGCCCCGCCCCCGCGGGGCCCGGAGTCCGTCGTTGGGGCTTCCAGCAAAACCTGCCTCCTCCTCCTCCTCCTCCTCCTTCCCTCCCTCCCTCCCTCCCTCCCTCCATCCACCCATCCAACCATCCATCCATTCATCCATCCTCCTCCTCCTGCTTCTCCTGCTCCTCCTCCTGCTCCTCCTCCTCCTCCTCATCCTCCTCCTCCTCCTCCCTCCTCCTTCCTTCTCATCCTCCTCTTCCTTTTCCTCCTCCTCCTCCTCTCCCTCCTCCTCCTCCTTTTCCTCCTGCTCCTCCCCCTCCTCCTCCTCCTCCTCCTCCTCCTCCTCCTCCTTTCCTCCTGCTCCTCCCCCTCCTCCTCCTCCTCCTCCTCCTCCTCCTCCTCCTCCTTTCCTCATCCTTCTCCTCCTTCTCCTCCTTCTCCTCCACCTCCTCCTCCTCCCCTTTCCTCGCCATCATCATCAGGAGCATCAGCATCAGCACCATCGTCATCATCAGCACCATCATAATCATCATCATCATCATACTCACCATCCTCATCCTCAGCATCATCATCATCCCCATCATCATCATTATCACGATCATCGTAATCATCAGCATTATCATCATTATCAGCATCATCGTCAACACCAGCAGTAGCATCATCATCACACCCACCACCACCACCACCACCACCGTCACCGCCATCGTCTTCAGCACTGTCATCACCGCCATCACCATCACAATGACAAGCGTTGTAACCATGCCCATCATCATCATCATCATCATCCCAATCATCATCGTCATCAACATCATCATCGTCGTCATCACCCGCATCCACGTCCACATCACCACCGCCATCCTCATCACCATCCTTATCATCATCATCATCATCATCATCATCATCATCATCATCATCAGCCGCATCAGCAGCACCACAACCATCCTCATCACCAGCACCATCATCAACATCATCATCGGCATCGCCATCATCACCACCGACAGAATCACCGTTATCATCGTAATCTGCATCACCATCACCATCCTGATTATCACAACCGTCACTTTTCAAGCAACATGATGTCAGTGTTACGGACTGCGTGCCAACTTCCTCAAAAGGCGTATGCTTGAGGTGATCCAACTGCGCTGGGGAAAGCACTGAGCGGATTCTCTTTTTAAGCAATTAGCAAATTACTGGTGCAATATACCCTCGTAGTGCCAGCACGCAAGAGACACCACGAGACTGCATCGGCCACGCGGCCGCGACAAGCAAGCGCTACCCGTGACAATGTTTGCCCGGGCATGTGCCCAAAACTGGCGCGGCAAGGCGAAACTTCGAATGACAACACATGCGGCTATTCGCGCACATGTGCCCGGGAGGAGAAGGAAGGGAAGGAGGAAACGCAAAGGAGGAGGAGGAGGCGGGGGAGAAGCACTGCAACGTAAACGAAATGCCATCATGCGAGCGCGGACAGATACGGATTCACCCCATTTCGTATCGGTGAGACCTAGTGGAGACAGAGAGGACGAGCAGAAGAAACAACGACCTGAATAATGAATGCGTGGCCATGGCAACACGAACGGCGCGCAGAGGACTGCGGGTGCAACGAGCAACTACAACTGAGAACCGTGAAATCGACAATACACGTGCGTTATGAGCGAGAAGAGAAAGCGGGCGAAGGAGGGAGGGAGGAGGGAAGGAGAGGGGGACGGACAAACTAGCACAACGAGGGCGACCAAGCTGCTCCCGCCAGGCTTCGGAGACAATTGCAGCTAATGGCGGGTGGGCCGCGCAAGCCTCTCGACCATACGGCCACCAAGCGACCACCGCGTCCGCGATGGCGCTGTGCCTAGCGGCGCAGGAAGCAGCGTGTGCACAATATGCTGCCAAGGCCTGGCGCACTAAGACTGGAGCCGCGCTCTCGCCAAAGGCCGGCTCCAGAGCAACGAAACACGACAGCCGCGACCCGGGCGCGGGACGGGACAATCGCAAACGCCTGAAGCCCAGCTCCGCTATGCAGGGGCACTGCGCGAAATATAATCAGCTGTCCTCGCCGCGCGCGCACCCGACAGGGCACGGGGCCCGCCGCCCGAAGCGGCGAGCTGTCGTCCCGCTGTCGCAGAGCGCCTTGCACAGAGAAGCCCACACATCAGGTGGCACCGACGGCGCAAAACCGCAAAGCACCTTCGGAGCCCGCGGCGTGCGGTGGTTGGGGAACAGGTGGAAGGGGGGAGGCGAGAGAGGGAACGAGAGAGCTCACGGGTGGTGCGCACCTG